GAGCAAAGAAGAGCACTGAGGTGGATTTTCAGAATAGAGGAGGTACTGTAGGAGGGGACACTGCGTGTCAAAATGTGGCATGAAAAATTGTAGTGCAAAATGATAATTGGAACGTTTCCTTACAAACATGTTTTTTTTTGTAGATGATAATGTCTGTTGTACGTGCATAATTCCATAAACACAATACTGATGTTGGCATTCCATTGCTAATGGATTGGTAAAATGTGATTAGTGTATTATTTTGGGAAGCAAAAGACTATTAACCATGAACTGAAGATCTGGATTACACAGTTTGTGTTTCTATTTTTTTAGAAAATAGAGAAATGGAGTGATCTTACAGATCTTTGTGAAATTGTGAGTTATGTTTAATTTCTTGATCAGAAGATACCAGGGTGCCCTAAAATCAGATGGCATCAAGACAATGTCAGTCACTGCTGGGGTTAAAGTTGCCCAAATAATCCCTGGCGTTTTGTGAATTCAGAGTGCTGTGTGCAAGGAATGTCAAGTAGTTCTGCCTGATGGTCTAGTCTGCTGGCACTGGAACAAGGCTGCCTTACTCCACACGTTAACCACAGTGAGCCTTCTTGTGTGTTTTGGTTCTTTTTACTCGTGTTTTATGCTTAATCTGGTATTACATATTAATTTGTCCTCTTTTTGTCATCGTCAGAAGAAGAAAATAACATTTTATTGCTAGGATGATGGGTGATTTTTAAATCCTCGATCTTGTGTTCCTTGATCTTTAACTTAAATCCTCTTTAGACGCTGGAGCTGGGTTTCCCTCTCTTCTAAGACTTTAATTCTGAAGATAATCGTGCACTCTGGTGCTTTAGGAGAACCATGGCAATTTCACTGAGTTAAGTGAGCTAGATTCTTACAAAAGCTGCCTTTGTCTAATCTCGGAAAATATAAGACATTGAGACATTATAGGAGGATCCTTTAAAAATGTGGAATTGATAGCAAATGGAACTGGTAACATACCAGTGTTGCACTATAGCCAGGTAGATATAAAAGCTTGTGTGCAAAATTCAAATGTAACATTAGGGCCGCCAGGAGGTCACCGGTGATTCTCCCATCCATAAGGCACCGTCTTCCACATCTTTCACTGCGAGGGAAAATATTTTCAAAATAATCATACCGAAAACGAGCATGATTATTCAGAATGCACTTACTACACTTGGGGCATCCTTCTGAAATGTAATAACCTGATGCATTCTGGCTGTGGCTATAATTACTGTGGATATACCGTGTCATGAAATAAAAGGCTTTAAGCGACTGGGTGACCTATTTAGGGCTCTAGACTCCTCACCTGGTGCAGACCACTATAGTTACATGACTTGTTACCTGCTCTGTGGATGGAAGGAAGATTTATGGTCAGTCTTGTATGTTTACTGTAGGTGATTATAAGACCTATATTATCTGTAACACCTATTCAAAATCCAAGTATTCAAGTATTCTCAAACGTCATTTAAATTATACGCGATGACACTACTATTCACACTTGCTTGTAAATAGCTTGCTTTGAACATAAACCTGGATGTCAGAAACCAGCTTTTGTTTTTGAAATAGTGCCATTACTGCCGGTGAAGAGTAGTGGTTGGGTTTCTGAACTTTGGACTAGAAAGCTGGTATAAATGAGTGTTGGAGACTGGTGCTGTTCCTGTGAGTGACCTGCTCAAACAGATTGCTACAGCAAACCAAGTTGTGGAAATGGCCAAATAAGTATATAAAAAGCAAAATATATTTACTTAACTTTTTTAAGCTACTTTGGATAAATTAAGGTCTCCCGTGTGTTTTTTTTCCCTTGGACCAGCTTGGCATGTTAGTATCCTGTGGGTTATCAGTCTTTATAGTTGGAGGAGTTTAGGAGTGACGCTCAGATCATAAAGGGTGGCTCGCTCATAATACAGCCCTGCCTGTGGGTTTGTTGGTGAGGGTATCCGGTGTGGAGTTCAGAGATCCCTTTTGAAGTGTGTAATGAGGGCCTGGGGTAATGACAGTGTTTAATGGCTGTGAAGGACATGGTGCCCTCACACGAGGGTATAAAGGCTTTGTCTGCACGAGAGGCCAGCTTGTCTCTCTCGGGTTGGGATGGAGAACTGGGCCAAAGCGAGGAGGAAGACCGCAGTACTTCGCATCATCTCTGACACCCATCCTGCAGGTGAGGCTTTTCCACAGGGGGCTCGAGGGGTGTGAGGTGGGTTCTTCTGCCACATCATGACTGTGCCTCCACTTTTCATAGAAGAGTGGGGTGGTGGTGGGGGGGAGATATAAAAATGGGAAATATATCTTTTTTTTTTCTTTGCTTAGTCACTGCAGGCTGAGACTTGTGTTGTGGAGTACCGTGGCCTGTAGTAATAATCACGACGTGAGAGTTTTCCAGTGTTTCAACTCGGAGTAAAGCTTAACAAAGCTTAAAAGTATGTAGCAACAGTGCTGGGTGTCCTTTCACACAGGAAACACAGGAACAAGACAGACATCACTGTAGTGCCAAAGACAGCCCTGCTTTTGAGCTCACTAGGTAACAAATCCCTGTTTCCAAGACATGTTGGGCAGAGTGGCTCCTATGCAACATTCCCTTCACCAGTCAACACCTACTGTAGGTCCGCATGTCACAAGCCTTTAAAATCCTTAGGGGGGACAGCTGACAGCACTAAGGTGGTGTACCTGCCTGTGGATTCCACTGCAAAGCTGGGAGCTGTTCGGAAATGAAAGAGCGCAGGGGCTTGTCAGTAGTGAGAGTAAACCATCTGGACTAGAGTTCTCAGCGACATCAGGGTTGAACAAATCCCACACAGTTCTCTGTGGGCTGCTGCATGTATGTGTGTATTTTTCTTCCCGTCACCTGAGCCCCACAACAAGGAAACTGTACAAGGACAAATAAAGCAAGTGGAACCATCCTGTAAGACATTAGTGTTTAGTCTCCAAGAAATAGATTTACAATTTTCAAAGGATACAGGAAGGTTTATTTTCCTCTGAATAATTTGTTGGATCTATTTTTTCTGGCCTCCAAAGAAATACAAGCTAATTTGTCACTTTCTTTTACAAAGAAATATAGATTGACACGAGTGGTATAAACGGGAGGCTTGAGTCCGTGAATTTATTTGTGAAAAGGGAAGCACAATTCAAAGCTCTCTGATATTCAGGAGAAAAATCAATACCACGCCAGGTGATTAGAAAGCAACTGAAGTTCAGACTCCCTGCTGCTCTTGTTGAGATTTAATGAGATGGAAAAATGTATGCTGGGTTTCTGAAGAGAAAATAGGTAAAATAATAAAATGTTTATTAATTAATATGGAGCTTAGTCCTGCACAAGTGAGAAACCCTTGGCATTAACTGTTGGTGCTGTGGCTCAGCTCTTGTTGCACCGTGTTCAGAACGCAAGGGGAATGAGAGAGGATATTGACAGCTCATGTTATTGAAGTCGGAATCCCCTGAGGCTGTGGTTGACTGTGCGCAGGGAATTGATCCTTTTAGCTGTCTGTTGGAACGTGCTTTTCCCCCAGGAGAGAGGTTTTAGAACCCTGTAATCTGGCAAAATGGGAATGAGTAAGCCCCTCTTTTTCAGTATACGCATCACGAGAGGGTTTTCTTTAGGGACAGGCTTGGTCCATTTGCAACTTGAGAGAGTATACAGTGCAGGTGATGCCTATTCATTAAGCTATGAGCTAAACCAAAGGCAATGTACAGGTAAGAGCTTAGTGAAGTCCAATTTGATTAGTGTGGGCTTTAGCATTCTTTTGTTTTTTTAATGAGAAATTACCCTCTCAATGTCACTAGGATTTTTTTTTAGGTGTAGGCACCACAGCAAAAGTAATCTGAGCACGTCAGCACAAGCAGACAATGGTGCTGAGGCTGCAGTCACAGTTAGATGAATTTGAAAAGGTGGCGTTTCACTGCTCGCCTGCCGTCTTGCCTCCTTCCAAGACAGGGCTTGTGACGTACAGCGGGAGATTGGAGGAGAGTGTGGCAGAAATCCTGAAAAAAGCTCGGGTAGGGGAAAAAAATAATTTGTGAAGCCAGCACTTTCTTTCAAGTGCTGAAACGGCGGCCATTTTTTTCCAAGTGGCTGATTTTCACAGCCTGCGTTTCTGTTGGGTTAGCTGAAGGTGTTGGTTTCTATTTTTCCAATGGCCAAGTGGGCTGGAGTTTTGTAACCCCAGATGAATCCATGTGTGCCTTTGGCAACAGCCTTCTCTTCAGGTTTGATTCATTCCTCATGAGCTAGTAAAGCCTTTCATCTGATAATGTCACAGCTGGCCGGAGCCGGACATTTTTAGGAAGTTTAATAGCAGGGTATTAGAATTTGCACAGTATCTGTCGATAACAAGAGCAGCACTAGCAAAGCGTTAACACAATTTATGCAGTGTTAGCTTGGCTAGAAATTGTTCCATTTCTGCTGTTAGCAATTTTGTTTTTGGAACATACTAGACATTGTAGCCTTGGACCCATAACGCCCCGATTGAGCTCGGATCGACACAGGCCGATATCCATTAAACCTGGTCCAAGAAAAAACCTAACCTGCTTTAGGTGACTAATGGACTTGTGTGAGCAATAACTGTGAATTATTACTACATTTTTACTATACATTTTTCTGTATGCAGCAGAAGAATACCTTCAATATCTCAGAAATGCCCATTACCATGCTAAAGCATTCAGCTCTCTTTTCTCCATTTTTATTCAACTCAAGCCTCTTTCTATCCAATTGTTAATGTAGTTTTTATTGAAAACACCTTGTCAGAGTTACTTTCTGCATAATGAATATCCATAACTGTACCAAGGGGTTTACATTTCACTTCTCATTGTAGGTTTTTAATCATTTTCTCATGTCTTTTCCTACCTTTTGACCCTTGATGTTGCACCACAATTAAAAAAATAATTGAAATTGAACTTTTCCTCTGTGCCACCTCATCCCACCCACTTCCCCATCCTGCCTGACTGGCACGGCTCACTTCCTGCCCTCCCCTGCCCTCCTCAACACTCGTTCCCTGTCCTGGCACGAGATGGCAGAACACACTGTTGCCCCACTGGCTTCGGAGGACAGTGACCACAAGGCCGACCCGCCATCCGATGACCAGGAGTACCTCCCTGGGTGCGCCGATCTCGGCAGCGATGGCGTGGGTCGGCGGGAGAGGAGGAGGAGGAGCGGCAGGAAGAAGCAGGTATCGGGATGCCCCCGGGCACACCTCTGCCCCTCTGCCACAGCAGGGCCTGTGAGATCACTACCCAGTGTGGCGAGATGAGATTGTAGGGGTTCCTACACATCTTGATCTGCCAGACCCCTTCACTACCATACCTCAATCATTAAACATGCCACAGTCCAGGATGAGTGATCTACTGTAATTACCAGCAGCTAAATCACCCTGCAACTCACAGCTGGCAGCCCACTGCAGCTCAGCAGGAGTGACCCTGACCAGTACCTGGATGGGAGACCTCCTGGGAAAACTAAGGTTGCTGCTGGAAGAGGTGTTAATGGGACCAGTAGGGGGCGCTCAACCTAAAGTCTCTGTGGGTCCTAATGCCCCAGTATAGTGAAGGGGACACTATACTGTAAAAAAGGCACAATCGGATAAGACATGGGACTGACTCTCTGTGGTCATTAGAAATCCCAGGGATTGTCAAAAAGACTACGGGTGTAACCCCGGTGTCCTGGCCAAATTCCCCCCTGGCCTTTACCAATCATGGCCTCCTAATAATCCCCATCTCTGAACTGGGTTCACTACTCTGTGCGCCTCCTCACTGAGAGCTGGTGTGTGGTGAGCAGACTGGTGCACTATGGCTGTCCATAAAAGTGCTATATAAATGTAAGGAATTATTATTACATTAATCCAAGACGGTGACTACAATGTTTATGTTGCTGGGATTGTATGAAGCTCAGTTTGAGCACATCATTATTGTACCTTTACAGTGCACACCTATACACTATACACTTTCCTCATGAGTGAGTCCTGTGAGCCACCCAGTAGGATCGGGAATGCTGTGGGCGGAGGGCAGTGGGCTGGAGTTGTGCCCTGTAGCTTGAAAATGAGGTAGGCTGCAGGAGCACACTGCCTGCAAGCAGTGTGATACGACTGCCTGTGACACCTGCCCTCTTCCCCTTGCATTGCTCAGCAGTCCATCCCTGCCTCTCTTGGGGGACTAATGCTGTGTGGGAGCTGTTTCTGTCATCAGCCCCTGCTTTGCACTGTTCTCCAGGACTGAATCCCCAGGCTGTTCAATTGTGCCAAAGGAGCTTGTTATCAAAAATAATAGACCACATTATTGCTATTCAGCTCATCTTCATATACTCACTGCTCATAGTGTCTTAACTTGATAATTCTGATTACTGCACTTTGGGGGTGTTCTCTGGACGAAGAGAGTTACTCAATGGAAATTATCCAGATTCATTGCATCGTCTGTGCTTTTCAATATTTGGTTGCTTTGGAGTTCTTGAGGAAAAAAAATGCATTTGTCAAGAAGGACCTTTTACCTTTTATTTTCTTATACGCTGTATTAGAGGGTGACCAGCAGCCCATTTTCTTTTGGCTAGATAGATATGACACTGCTAAAGCCAGTTTGAAGAGCATGGTGTGTCTGTCTGGTGACACAGTAACCTTACTTGGTAAATCTTTTCCCAAAACTTTCATAGACCTTTGCATCAAGTTTTTAATTGATAATTGATAATGTTACATTACAATGTACATTGTTTATTGAAGACTTGTTTCCTGACAATAACGTCATGTCTCAGTGTTTGACTTGCTTTGCCTTCCATGCGATAGTAACTAAAACCTTTGTGATAATAGCCATGGCAGCAGTGACTGTTTTCCTTACAGCTACTGTAACAGCAATACACTGTAATATTACTGTTACTAGTAATGCAATGGTAATAGATACTGTAATAGTACCTACTTAAGTGATGTATATTTGCAATCACACTTTCAATACATGTAGTAACTCTGGTGGGTTGTAGTTTGAACCATTCAGGGTTTTCCTGTGGTGTGCATATCTGGCTGAACCAAATTGAATTGTCATCTCTTATTTAATGCACTGGGCAGCCTTACAAAATGTGCTGCACAGAAAGAAATTATTACTAATTCCTTCACTTAGATGGCATCTTTTTAGTGAGACCCATTATAATATCCTTTTCCCAGGAGTTCAGTAGGCTCTTCTGTTTCAGGAATCATCTCTGGTTGTTGCCCACAGACTTGTGATCAATAAAATGTGTATTTTAAATCGTGCGGACGTTTTGTTTCACGCCGGTAGCCTACTGTGGTACCTTTTTAATTTTGATTAGGATGTTATAAGCCTGCTGTGGGGTGTTGGCTTGTTCCCCATACTTGAGCATTTTCATGGAGAGCCCCGACTTCCTCCTAAATCCAGAAGATCTCAGTTCAGGCAGCTTTAGTGCGTCTAAGCATCTCAGGGTGTGTGTGCGTTCTGAGCCTTGAGACTTGGGCTTCCTGAATAATGCCCTGGTTGTTGTGATCCTTACATAATGGATAAATATAGTACCTTTGTTTTGTTCCTTGTGAGAGGCTTTCGCAAGCATGCAGTTAAAAAGTTTTTGTACATACTGGGAGCCAGGAACTAGAACTTCAGGAACTAGATTTAGCTTGGACGTTGGAACTGAAAGACCAGATTTTGCTTTCTCAGTTGCCTCTCAGCAGTGCTGATCTTCTGTACCATTAAAAGTGGATCCATGTTCCTTTCTGGTTATAATGCACTGAAAGATGGCACTTTTGCTCTTTGACATTACAGGCTTGACTATTCAGGAGAATTAAACAGAACTCAATATTGAAGTGAAGGGATTAGTGTTTATCGGGGGATAAGAACAGCTTTGCTTTACTCTAGGTGCACCTTGTTTGCTTGTTTTTTTCCTTGTCTCTGAAACAAACATGCACCACTGATGGCTGTCTTAGGTGCCTTTTCTTACTAAAAAAAAACCTCTGTGTATTTCTTTTTCTCCCTTCATTTTTTTTTGTTCCTTTTCCTTCTTAACCTGCAATCTGCCTGTCCTCTCCCCGGCTCCTCCCCCCTCCGATGCTCCGCCCACTCTGCCCCGCCCCCCCGCTAGCTCTCCTGCTTCATGAAGGACGACTCGGAGGACTCGGAGATTGAGCACATCCTGAAAGAGCTCCCCAGCGACGTCGGGCAGCCGGGGGACAGGGAGGCAGAGGGCACCGCCAGCCCTCCCAGCCCGGGGACTCCCCTCTTCTTGCGCCCCCCAGTGGCAGGCAGGGCGTTTTCAGAGGCAGCTATAGACACAGAGCAGAGGCACAGGTTTCAGCTGGCGGCACAGGACTGTATCCTGCCCACACCACTCAGCCCCTCGCGGCCAAAGAGCCCCTGGGGTAGATTTGACCCCTATGACTCAGACGAGGTAATGTAGGGTAGTAGCTAGTGTGCAAAGGCTAGGATAGGCAAATCATTGTAAAGCTGTGAAAACCCCTCTTTTCCCAGAGGCTGGAAGTCAAGATCTTTTTCTATTTAACGTATCTTAGTTTGCACAGGAACTGGTACAGTCTAACGGAGATAAATTTGCGTGAAAACGAGTAGCGGGTTCCAGGATTTTTGTGACGAGCTAGTTACAGCGCCATCTGATGGCGGGAGGATTTAAATGCACTTAACTGTACCCACTCAACCCACAGTTACGCACCATTCCCCAAAGGAAATGGACCCTCACTCCAGTTTTTCAGCCCTCCAGTGAAATCCATGGCACAGCATCAAGCTAAGATCCAGAGATAATGTAGTACATTTATACATTTATTCTGGTTTCAAATTTGTAAAAAAAAAAAAGGAGGAGTCCTAATGTTTAACTTTCATGATGGGATGTATTTATAGCACTGCTTTGTGGTTAAGGCCCCCTGTCTTTTTCAAAGGGTCTTAAAGGGAATCCATATGTTAAGATCTTTAGGAAGGTCTCCTGACCAGAATTTAATTTACTTTAGACTGTAATGTTCAACACATTGCATTCCAGGGCAGGAAGCTTGTGCTCTTTAAGTTTCAAGATGTGTGTGTTTGAGGGAAGGACCAATTCCCTCCAAGGTATTCGCCCTGCTTTTTAATCCAGGAAGATTAAAGAAAAGAAGCCAACTTCTTGGCTCTGCAAAATATCCATCTTTCATTAAAGCAATGTCTCGAACTTTGTGTGTTTGTATGTTACAATTAACAACTTTAAAATGCGGTGTTCAGTGCTGAAATTATTCTCCGTAGCCATATTGATCTTCGTAAATTGTTGAAGTACTGACGAATATTCAAGTGAATGCAAAATAACTTTGAATGGAGAAAAGTACTTGTCAACTATATTTCATTGTTTTCAGATTTGTGATGTGTATAATTGTGAAGATCACCTTCCCGTTAAGATTTTTAATTGTTTCCCATCTCTTGTAAGTGAGACTTTCTTTTCTGTACAGTGTGTTTTATAATTTTTTTCTGAGGGTAGGAGTTTTAGTCTTTAGAAGGGTTTTACTCCTGTTGAACTTCACAGCCGAACAAAAAAAAAAAAAGGAAAATGATGTCTGTAAAAGGCTCTGTGTCACGTGTTGTTGTTTTTTTTCTTTTTCTCCGCTTTTAGGACCAGGATAAGGAATATGTGGGATTTGCGACATTGCCAAACCAGGTGCACCGAAAATCGGTGAAGAAAGGATTTGACTTCACACTCATGGTGGCAGGTATGTACAAGCCATTGTGCACCCCAGAGTGTGAGCCATTTACATCCTTTCTCCTAACCAGCTTATTGGAATCCAAAACAACCCACAACCTTTCCAACAAGGCTCGTCCTCTTCCAGTTTTCATACCCCGGACCAGTTACTGACCAGCACTGCTGCAGATTTATGCTGTAAAATATTTTAAAGCTTGTTTTTCTACTATCTGGTTTCAGGGGAATCCGGCCTGGGGAAATCCACATTAGTGAACAGCCTCTTCCTGACAGACCTATATAAGGAAAGGAAATTGCTCAATGCAGAAGGTGAGAGGGTTTTCTGTCCTTATTGCTCCTTGTCTTGTGAAGGGGGGAAGTGGTGTAGGGTCAGGAGATGTTGCCTCTTTTGAGAAAGTAGTCTCTCCGTTATCCTGCAGGCTTTGCTGAGGCTGGTGCACCTTAATCCGGGAGTCTGCAATCAAAATCCAGAAGCCCAATTTGAAAACTGGACCAGACGCTATTGCATTAAAATGTACCTGACCTATGCAAGTGCATGAACTAAGTGGCAATATTACCTTTTATTGGACTGGTATTGTGAAGTTTGACCAGCTACATAACAAGCGAGCTGGTTTGTTCTTTTGACTACCATGTTATGCTCCCTGCTCTGTTGTGCACCCCATTAAATCCCATTGTCCTATTTGTCCTTGCTCGTGTCTTTCTGTCCAGAGCGAATCACCCAGACTGTGGAGATTACCAAACACACAGTGGACATCGAGGAGAAAGGGGTCAAACTGAAACTCACGATTGTGGACACTCCGGGCTTTGGGGATGCCGTCAACAACACCGAGTGGTAAGGAGAGGGGTCATTTGAGTTTGGCTGTGGGATCAGGTGTAGCAGATGCAGGGGCACAGAAACGTGCCCTTTGGATTCTTCCAGGGTGGAACGATCATAATAATTTCTTACACTTATATAGCAATTTGTTGGACACTCCTCTCAAAGCTCTTTACAGGTAATAGGGATCCCCTCCACCACCACCAGTGTGCAGCCTCACCTGGACGATATGACAGCAACCAAAGTGCACCAGTCTGCTCCCCACACACCAGCTCTCAGTGGGGAGGAGAATAGAGAGATGAAGCCAGTTTAGAGATGGGGATTATTAGGAGGCCATGATTTGTAAAGGCCAATGGGAAATGTGGCTAGGATGTCAGGGTAACACCCCTACTCTTTTCGAGAGACACTCTTTGAATTTTAATGACTGCAGAGAATCGGGACCTCGGTTTTATATCTCATCCGAAGGACAGTACCGTTTTACAGTATTTTGTCCCCAGCACTATACTGGGGCATTAGGACCCACACAGACTACAGGGTGAGCGCCCCCTATTGGCCCCACTAACACCTCTTCCAGCAGCAACCTTAGTTTTTCCCAAAATGTTACCAGTTAATACAGCAGCAGCCCTCGGTATTAAACTGCTGCCTTTTAAACTGGCAGTGTCAACAATGTTGTGTCTGTCCCAATAGGTTATTGACCGTCTTCCGATCAGGACGTTTCTTTTCGTTTCCCCCCCAGCTGGAAGTCGGTAGCGGACTATATCGACCAGCAGTTCGAACAGTACTTCAGGGACGAAAGCGGGCTGAACCGCAAGAACATTCAGGACAACCGTGTCCACTGCTGCCTCTACTTCATCTCCCCCTTCGGCCACGGGTGAGCAGCAGGGCCTGGAGTCGGGCCAGGCTGCGCTTTCACTTGTCACCTGATCTGAATTCATAGCAGACGCAGGGTATCTGTATCACTCCGTTATATCTCAAGAGCTCGGCTTGTCCACATCCTAATCATTGTGCCATACATGCCTCCTTAGACCTGATAACCATTTGCACTTCTACATTCCTGCTTTGGCATTTAATGGATAGCTCTCCACTCCACTGACACCATGCATGCCCTTCGTAACCCTAATTAAACCCATGTGAGAATGCACCAACACCATTTGCAATAATCTAATCAATTAACAATTAAAGAATGTGTCTCTTTACAACAATTAGAGGCCCTTGGGTGGCCTCTAGGGCACATCAACTGTAACTGCAGCAGCTTCTTAGAATGGTCAGCCATAGGGTCCCATAATTATTCTGTTAAAATACATAAAACCGCAATATACAGTATCAAAGCAGCTGTGTGAATGTACACACCAGTGTCTAATGTGATGAGGCTGGGCAACTAGATAGTCTTGACACAGTGTAACTGTTACACTACCAAACATTCCCTTGCACCTAGGAGGAAGACAGCTGACTCATGCATTTTCAATGAAAGTGTATGTACTGTGTTACAAGGGTGAATAAAGCATAACTTTGGGCATTGCAGATTCAGCAGTGCAGAATTCCATGCGAAAATACTTATGATGTACAATAGTGCCATCTATTGGACAAACCAACAGGATTAGTGTGCTTGAGTATACACAGCTCTCTATGATACTCGATTGAGTAACGTCTTTGTTATCCTCCTTTTTCAAGGGGGGCATCAGGTTGCACGTCAAAAAGATTTTAACTTGATTAAGAAGCCAGACGGTTAAGACCCCTTGCAGGGGCATTATTGTGAATGGAAACTTCAGGAATCCTTCTGTTCAAAGGTGCGGTGAAGTCAAAGGTCAAGGTCTGGACTCTGTAGCGTCTCTGCCCCCTCTTGTGAGGGAGAGCTGCGAGGCTGAGTTCGCCGTCACCACGGTGACCAGGGTGACCGTGTGCTGCTGTCTCTCTCAGCCTCCGGCCCCTGGACGTGGAGTTCATGAGGGCTCTTCACGAGAAGGTGAACATCGTGCCAGTACTGGCTAAGGCCGACACTCTCACCCCTGCTGAAGTGAGGAAGAAGAAGATGAAGGTGAGGCCAGGCCAGATATCCTGCAGTGCAAACCGCTGAAACAACAAATGTGATTAGATTAGAAGACCTTTATTATCACAAGCTTGGGAAATTCATTCTGTAATTAATCAAGACCTATTTAATTCCTTGCATTTATATAGTGCTTTACACCAACACCACCTCTAGATGGTTTTCCTGTAGAGATCTCGCATTCCTTGACTGACCATACACAAACACCCACAAAAAACAGGCACCGACGTTTTCAGTCAGTGAAATAATTGATCTCTTAATTATCCAGGTAGGGCATTTAAAAACACATTGTTATTAATAAACCAGACCCAGTGGTGCGTACTGAAATCATCACTCTAGAGAACTCGAACAGAGCACTCTCGTTAAATAAGATCACTAATAATAATTCACCACGGTGATGCATGCATCTTTTTTGTAACTTTTTTTTTAATGAAACTGTTTTCTGTTTTCACAAAATGTAATGTTCTATTCTTTCAAAGAAAAGTTTTTTTTTTTCTGGTTTACACAGGAGTTTTCTTAATATACACAGCCCATATTTGCATTAGAATTCATAGGCAGTGGTGTGCCAGGTCTGGTACCAGTGAGGATATTTAAGTAAAGCTGCTTCATACTGCCCTGCAGATTCGAGAGGAGATCGAGCAGTATGGCATCAAAATCTACCAGTTCCCCGACTGCGACTCCGATGAAGATGAAGAATTCAAACAGCAGGACCAAGAGCTCAAGGTACTTGCCGGGCCAGTGCTTTCCCGTTTTCCTCTATTTTGGA